AGAGTCGCCGGTTCCCATCGTGCTGCTCCGGATCGTGTCCCGGAGCCGGGGGGTCAGGGGGTCACTGGTGGGGCCGGGACGGGAGGCAGGGCCGTCCCCCAGCGCCGGCGGCCGCCGTCCATGGCCGTGTGCGGAGCCCGAAGAGCCCTTTGCTGGCCGGTGTCTCGGTGCCCTGCCTGTGGTGAAGGTGAAACCTCTTGGTTACAACTCGGGACTTTGCGGTGCCTCCTGCATCCCCTAATGCCTGATTGTCCTCTGTCCCTGTTTCCACAGATTGCCTGGGGACTCCCATCGTCTACTCGCCGGTCAAAGCAGACCTGACTGGAAATATTAAGGTAGGAAAGGGCCCAGGAGGGCTCGGGGGGGGTGAAACCCCGGGGCAGAGATGCTGTGGGATTGGAGAGGCAAGACCCGGAGGTGTTTAAAAGGGTTTTTCTTCCTGGGGGGGGCTTTCGGGCTCAGCGGCGGGTCGTCTCGGTCGCATGCATTTATTAACGGGGCTCCCTGGTGAAAGCGGTGTTTCACAGCCGCGGTGCTCGCGGCAGCCACCGCGGTTCCCAGCCTGCCGCCGCCCCGCCCGGCAGCTCCCAGGAGCCAAATCCCCTTCTCTGCTTTCTCAGAAAATCCGGGCGGTTTACGACTCCAACCCCGCCAAGTTTAAAACGCTGCAGAACATCCTGGAGGTGGAGAAGGAGATGCACGGCTCGGCCTGGCCCAAGACGGGCGCGACGCTGGCGCTGATGTGGTTGAAAAGGTGACTCACGGCATCGGGGGCTGCTCCGGGCTGCGTCCCGGCACGTGGGGTGCCTGTCAAACCTGCGAGGAGGGGTGTGCTGCCGGGACTGTGGGTTTTGGGGGGTTCCTGGATGAGTTGGGCTCAGGGGGTGCCTTGCTTGGAGCCTGGGAAGCAGCATCCCCTTCTCCACCCCACCATCTCCGCGTCTTCTCCCAGGGGCCTGAAGTTCATGCTGGTGTTGCTGCAGAGCATCTCCGACGGCGAGCGGGATGAGGAACATCCCAACCTCATCCGAGTGAACGCCATGAAGGCTTACGAGATCGCGTTGAAGAAATACCACGGTTGGATGCTGCAGAAGCTCTTCATGGTAAGCGTTCGCATCTCCGTGGAGGAACGCGGCCTTTCTGCTCCATCAGTTGCCCCGAGAACTGATGCGCTTTAGGGGAATAAGGGCTTGGAAATATGGGAAGCTGCTCATCTATTTCGAGCGGTATTTCCAGGGGATTCTCTCTGCGCATCCCTGTTTCT